ATCGGGATATATAAGGTCAACCAATTTTATTCTTATTCATATTATATATAACGGTTATTTAAAATTATAAATTAATGCATATTTTTTTTTCTTTCTAAAATTTGTTTTAACAAATACAATTAATATATAGAGTAAATTACATGATTGGTCCCTTTGGTTTACACAAAATTACACCATTCGTCCCTAAATCAAAATCATCATGGAGAACGTCCTAAGGTTTATTAGAAGGGTAATTTAGTTAAAACATCTTTGTTAAGTAGGTTTATTAGAAGGATAATTTAGTCATTTCATAATTTTTTTATTTTCTATTAAAAAAACACAGGGACCAATCAAGTAATTCACCCTATTAAAAAAACATGGCCCATCCTCTTTTCTCTTTCAACAACCCTCACGATCCTCTCCTCTCTATTTTCAATACATGGTCCCACATATATATATATATATATATATATATATATATATATATATATATATATATAGTCTTGGGAGCATATGAGACCAAACTTTTTTTTGTGAGATCCGTAAGACCAATTCTCAATTCTTGGATTAGATCTATAATCTCAACATTCTTAATCACAAAATTGCCACAAGATTTCTCAATAATTACAAAATTGCTAACGTATAACTTTAGACCATTAGATCATTAGCTTATACAGTTGATCAATGAACATAAATTGGTCTCACGGGTCTCACGAAAAACCATTGGTCTCACGTGAACCCAACCCTATATATATATATATCTATAAAATAGAAACATACAACGTTGACGTGACATCTCTTTGTATTAGTATTCATGTCTTTATTTTTTCTCCATTAAATTTTTCCTTTTATTTTAGGTTTTATATTTAATCTAAGACTTTTACACATCATCTTTTACCGTTACAATTCTTTCTCTTCTACGTCTTCTTATCATAAACTTCTTTACTCTTCATCTTCTACCGTTACAATTATTTCTATTCTACATCTTTCTATCACAAACTTCTTTGCTCTTCTCCATCTCTCGATCCCGATAAGAAATTATGGATTGACAGTATAGCTGGCGGTACACCTTTCTCTATCTTTCTATGTATCTATAGAAAGATATGAAACAATAATTATGGGTGTTTTACTTTTATTTTCTCGATCTCTCTATCTACTTTGTTGTCTGCGATTAAAAGCAAACTGAAGGAGATTAGAGAAACCATATAAGGAGGAATAAGAAAAGTTTATGGCAAAATCAGTTGTTGGTGTGTTTACTTCATCTCTGAAGTTTCGAGAAAACTAATTAGATGCTCCAATATCTCCATGAGACTGGATATACAAAACGTGGAAATTGTATGTTTTCATTTTGAATTACTACCTCAATTTTCCACACATTATGGACTTTGAAGTTGATCTAGATGTCTCGGATTGATAATTTTGTTATTTTCATTTTGAAGATTGCAGATTGTTTTTGTAAACAATTAATTATTTATCTTCTACTACATTTTTTTAGGATTCGGGATATTCATAGAAGGAAAAAAAAAACGATAATTTCCCATCTTTTCGAACTAAAACATAATTTGATAATTTTATACTATAACCACGTTCCATGTTACAATTTTATTGGATTTTTCATTATAAAAGGTAATATTCGGCTTTACACCTCTCTTTGCAACCAATATATTTTAACTCTCTTTATTCTAACATAATAAAATAGTACCATAATTATTCTGATACATTTTAACACTTTATATCGAATTCAAATTTATATATTCATTTTTCTACAACCAATATATTTTAACTCTCTTTATTCTAACAAAATAAAACATTAGGAAAAAAAATTGTAACACAATTATTGTGATACCTTTTAACACTTTGTATCAAATTCAAACTTAACGATGCTTTCTTTCATCAATCAACAACGACAGCACGAAGCGCGACAAAGTTACCGTATATATATATATATATATATATGTGTGTGTGTGTGTCTAGTCATGTATTTTACTTTTTAAATATATATATATATATACACACTTCATGCATAACTAGCAAGTTCAGGAAACCCTCCGTCACCGACACCTTTTTTGGGCCCTCCCTGCACCTTCCACAATGCTTCATCAATGGTGTCCCCTTCAATTGATACTGTAAAACACACAAGAACTAACAAAAAGAAAATCTAAAACCCCAACGAAGATCAAATCTCACTTAGAAAATTAAAATCCACAACAAAGGTGTGGTGATGGTTGCCCTCATAACTATGAAGAAAAGATGGGGAGGAATGTGATGATGATGATGATGGTTTGGCAGAGGATGGGTTGCCCACGGGGTAGTCTATGTGTCTCTTGTTGATGACAGTGAAGAGAGAGATGGGTCACTAAGAGAAGAAAAAAGTCACCGGAGGGGGTGGATTTGGGTCATCGGAGAATAGATACATATATGTATATATACGTTA